CTGATCAGTCAAGTGGATCATGCTATTGACATTTTTGAGGGACTCACCAATGGCTTTGCAACTGGTCTTTTCCTGTTTGACAATGCACCGAGTCACCAAAAGTGGGCAATGGATGCCCTCTCTGCTCGTAAAATGCCCAAAAATCCCCATGCAACATGGACACATCACAAAGATGGCCCAAAGATGAGGACCACCTGCTTCAGTGAGCACAGCACTATCCAAGACTTCTATTACCCAGATGATCACCCCACCATGCCGGGCTGGTTTAAAGGGATGGAGAATATTATCCGGGAGCGCAGTCTGTGGCCACAGCGGGGGCTCAACGCGCAGTGTGAGGGGTTCAAGTGTGAGCCTGGGAAGACGGACTGCTGCTGTTGACGGCTTCTATTCACACAGCCCGATTTCGTAAATCAGAAGTCTCGCCTTGAAGAGTTAATCACTTCCCATGGTCACATTTGTGACTTCTACCCAAAATATCACTGTGAACTCAATTTCATTGAGCAGTATTGGGGGGCAGCAAAGCTTCGGTATCAGAATAGCCCCAAGACAACTGATATAAAGGAGATGGAGAGGAATGTACTTGCCTGCCTCAACGATGTTCCTGATGTTTCAATCAAACAGTGAGTGTTTATTTTCACTTCCATCAATAAATGGATCTAACGCGCTGATTAGGTATGCCAATCGCGCTGCTCGATTTATCAATGGGTACTTCCAGGGACTTACAGGCCCCGAGGCAGCATGGGCAAACAGGAAATATCACGGCCATCGCACACTTCCTGCGTCTGTTGTTGCTAAACTTAAGGAGGAGTTCTTAAAGAGGTTTGGGGGGTCCAAGTAAATTACTCTGACTTGTATTCCGAGGGTCAAAATTTTTGAAAATTTTCGAGAGCGAGATTTTGCCACCCTTGGCGCTTATATAATACAATTATATAAGCTAGCTGGTTCCTGATGGCCTCTACCTTACTGAAAAAGTAGATTACTTTTGCAAATTTTGGCATTATTTGGCTTATATCTTGTCATTAATAGAGCCAAATACCATCACTCAAGTGGATTCAGGATCATCATTTATTGCAATTATTTTCTCCTAAAAAGAAAATTTCTCACAGTCATGTGACCTGCATATTTCACATTGTTAGCACCCCTAGTCTCTGTGTAGATAGTGCACATTTTGGCGAAATCCAATTTGTCACATGTGACTCTGATATTGATGTTATCAGCAAACTTGATAGCTTTATTATTTTTCATCAATGCCAAGTCTGGGCCTAGCAATCATACATTTATTAATTGTTTCTATTTGAGGCCATAACATCAAAGTTTCAGAAGCTGACCCTGAAGCAATAGGCAAATAAAAAGTCACATGACTGGCCATCAACCTTGGCATCAGTCACATTTTTCTTCTATGACTATGACATCTCTCTGCATTGTTCACTGGACTCCACTGAAGTCCTATAGGAGTCCAGTGGAAGATAGACACTCCACTCCAGTAGACTCCAGTAGACTCTAGTGAACTCCAGTAGACTTTGGGTGGTGACTCCAGTAGGCACTTTTGGCTGGTGTTCCTGCTAATAGATTTCTACCAGACTCCACTGGAGTCTACTGGAGTCCTATAGGGATACGTGGGGGAGTACAAAGACCTCTATTAATGGCATAGCTACATTTTCAATAGTTCACTACATTTTTACTGGCTATTGTAGTAATGCCCTTCTTGCCCTGTGCAAAATCAAAATCACCAACCTCTCTTGCTCACTGCAGCCCTCTCTTGCTCTTCCAACCTAACCCCCAGCACCATCCAACAACAAGCCCTGGTGCCCAAATGATCCTGGACTTCACAGTTCAGCACCATTCATGCTTGTTCAGCCACTGCCGCCTGCCTCTCTCACTCCATGACCACCTGCTTGCCCTCCTCACCCTTTGCCTCTCGCCCCTCCCAACAGGCCTCAAAAACAAAGAATGATGGCAAACCAACATGCCCCTTCTTGCCCTCCTACCCTCACTCTTGTCTTCCACCACCACCACTCCCTCCTCTCATCCCTCCAATGCCCCTCACGCATCCAAACAGCCCCCAAAGACGATGAACAACACCAAACATGGAGGTTGGGTGTTGTTTGCACTCATTCTCTGTCCTGCCCACCTGCCCACCCAGCACCACCTGCCTCTCACCTTCCACCCCCACCACTGCCACTTCTCACCCTTCCAACACCCCTCGCCCGCACAAACAGCCACCCAGGATGATGAACGACACCAAACTTGGACATTCAGCAGCATTTGCAGTCGTTCTGTGCCCTATCCACCCCTTCTTGCCCTTCCCCCCTCCCTCCTCACCCTCTTGATGCCCCCTTGCCCATCCAAATGGCCTCCAAAGCACCCTGATGACAGTGAATGATGCTGAAGCTCTCATCCTCTAAAACAGTTCACTTTCAGAACATCATGAAATAGAATAGATATATATTGAGAATAATTATGTGAAATACATATTCCAGAAAGCAAAGGCCAAGTCATGAGTATGAATGAGAGAACACTGTTGCCGAGTCACAGAGGTGGTTGTTGTTGACTTGTGGAGGCTGTCATCAAGTCGCACAACATGATGATGAACTGGTGGGGTGGAGTAAGTAATGGAAGGAGGGATTAGAGTCAGTGACACACTATGCTGAGTCTCCCACTGCTCGGGTCTCTCTTGTGGTCCTTCTCTCCATCCAGCTCTTCCATAACCCTCATTGGAGGGCATGGCCATGGAGATGTTGGACCTGACATTGATCTGTGGAGGTGGTCATTGAGTTGTTGGAGCTGACATTGAGTTGTGGGGGACTGATATTGAGCCATGAGGGAGTGGCTTCCAGTTACTGTGGCTGATGTTGAATCAGCAGGCCAGCATCAAGACATAGGGCCTATTATCAACTTGTGTGATGCAACAGAGAGCTAGCAGGTGAGCAAGGAAGAGTGGAAGAAGAGGTAGCCAGTCACTCTCGTCGGTCTCCAGTTACTTGGGTCTCCCTTTGTTTTCCTCCTCCTCCATTCAGCCCTTCAAAATGTGCCCTGTCCCTCATTGGAAGGCACAGGTGCATGGTGTAGGTATCTATAGTAGAAGAGGGAGAGGAGGAATAGTGATAGTAGCAGCAGAAGAAAGAAAGCGATGATGTAGCACACAATTATGGCCAGCACAAGTCACCTGATCATTTACCTTACTGTCTACAAATGAAATAGTATTCACATACTCTACATTATATTTATGGGTACTGTATTTTTCTCCTGTATTTTACATTAATTACACAAGTTATTTCATGAGAATTGAATAAGAATTGACAGAGATATGGAATTTGCAAGATGAGGTGAGGGGCTGTGGTGGGTTTGTTTGTTTAGCCAAACATATGACGCATGAAAACTCTCCAGGAGTTTTCGTGCGTCATAGCTGTCAAACTCTGCTCACATGACCTAGCAAGTCACATGTCCTTCTACTACAGAAACAGTGTCTCTATATCTCTGCAATGGCTGCAGCTACAGCTCTGAAATTTTATACACCATGAGGTGGTGTTCAGAGAAGCTTAAATAAGAGATTCAGATCTTCAGGGGTGCTGTGGCATGAGATATTGCATGTTTTAAATGCAGAAAACCCACACCTCCATATCTCAACATCTACTGATGCTACAGGTATATAACTTTGGGGCCAACATCACCTATATTATATCTACTTGTGTACAAGTTTTCAGGACTGTTGATTGTCTTGATGCCAAGATATTGCAATATGCGCATTGTTTTAAATGCAAAAAACCCGCACCTCTATATCTCAACACCTACAGATGCTACAAGTCTATAAATTTGAGGCTATTATCAACCATATTATGTCTACCAGTGTGCCAATTTTCAGCTTCGTTGATTGTCTGGATGCCAAGATATTGCAATATGCACATTGTTTTAATGCAAAAAACCTGCACCTCTATATCTCAACACCTACTGATGCTACAGGTCTATAAATTTGAGGCTATTATCAACCATATTAGATATACATCTGTACTGACTTTCAGGTCTGTCAATAGTCCGAGTGCCAAGATATTGCAATATGTGCATTTTTGGGTTTTTTGGTGCAAACCAGTAATTTAAATATGCAGCCATGAATAATCAGTGTGCATCTATGAACTCTACATTTGCTAAAGACCTTCTGTATCCTACATAGTGCTGCCAAGGTGTTCCAGTGCTCTGGTCCTTGCCAGGGGTAGAGATTTGAGTGCACATTGTCAGCTATTTTTAGCAATCAGCACTATTTAGTCAATTGTGCACACAATTCTGTGCACGATACTGATATTTTGGGACCAATGTAACTGAACATTATGACTCCTCATTAATGCAGATTTGTTTTAGCTAGGGGATGTCTGGGAGAGAGGCCAGTGAAGCCACATTTTCATATTTTTAGCAGTGTGCAGCATTAATTTGACTGTAGATCTACCAAATCCTGGAATTTTCCCATGTTCAAGACCTCTACTGAGAGTTATGAATATTTCATGATTTATGATATTTTTAAATTAAAATTAAAATGGCCCAGAAATAATTGAAATATGCCAGCATTTGTCACAACCCATCCCCTGCTCCTGGCTTGATTATGCAGCTTCCAAGGCTGTTATCTGGCTTCCAAGGCTCATGGTATTGAGCTGTGCACTTTTCAGATGCTTCTTAGACATCCAGGAATGAGCTCTGAGCTTCCAGAATGCTTCTGACATGTGCCATGTCTCTAGCTCACTCTGTTGTGCCTCCAAGCCATTGTTCTATTGTTCTTATTGTCTTGGCTGAGTTGTCTATTGCATAATCATAGTATGTTATTCTACATGGCATAAATACCCATGTACAGTAATTGATTCCTTAGTCAGAATATCAAACTTGCCCTATTGCTTAGAGTGCAGAAGAATTAATAAAAGAATAAATAGGACAGCTAGAGATATGAGACAAAAATGAACTTGTAATTGCCATGCAAAGCAATGGCCCACAATACCCTTTTTTTTTTTTTTTTTTTTTTTTGATCAACAATTTATATAGTGGTGCTTGATGGCAGCCCGCTTGCTATCTACAAACACAAACACGTACACTACACAGCCTGGGTACTAAGTAAACTACTAAAAGACGTCCGCCCCCCCAACCACAAGCCTTATGGCTCAAATGCCTAAACTCCCATAAAGCCAGACCCACCTCGCGAAAACGGTGACATGGGATAAGGGGAGGAGACCATCGAGGCCCCGCTAAACCCCAAAGTCGTCGGACGCTGTTCGGAGGCCACGCAGTGCAAATGAGATAAGAATCGCACCACCCAGGAGGTGGCAGGGTGTCTTAAGGCCGACAAGCCAGAGATGTGCCTGCCTGAAGCCAGACACAGAAAGTTAGCGGCACCGCAACCCGCTATGATAGCGGCCGCAAGCGCAAAAAAGTGAAGCTGGCGCGGGTCACCAAACCCTAGAGTTCAGTGGTGTTAATTCACCCTAAATCCCCCAAAAGGAGGAATAACCCTGCCTGCAACGATTAGCCGACACCCAAGGGGTCCTGGTTGAAGCCAAACGCAGTAGGGTTGTACTTCATAAACGATGCAATATCCCCGAGGAAACGGGGACAGTGTACAGAGTATCTGTCACAGCAGCAAAAGAGAATGTGCTGATGGGACTGCAGAGCAGCCCTGCAAGTGCAGCCATGAGGCTCGTTGATCTTGAAGCGACGGTAATACGCTCCAATGGGTGTGTGGCCAGTTATACACCAGCAAACGCGAGCAAACTCAGTGATACTGTGTCCGAAGGTTGAAAGCCAAGGTCCCCCATTGAGGTACAATGGCTGTAGCGGCCGCCCGTCAGGCTGTTGAAGCTCTAAAAATTCAGAGCCTCGGTAAGTTGGATCCTGGAAAGTGGAACTCCACAAATCCAGGACTGAGTGCGCGGCCCGAGAGCGCAGTGCGTCTATAGAGTTGTCCATCTTCCGACATCCAACCCTGACTTTAAATTCGGTGACGTACTTGTGTGCCTCACCATGAATGTCCCACCGCAAAGCAGATGGAACGTGGATAAAGGTGATGCGGTGGAGATCATCTGCCTCGAACCACTCTTGGAGAGCGTGACAAACTGACAGGCTAAAAGCCTGACCAGAGTGCACGGAGGGGTCAACCGCTCTATGGGCCAAGCCCATAGAGTCAGTGAAGACCATGATATGTTGGCAGTTTGCCTGCTTGACAGCAAGGCGTACCACACTCGAGATGGCATTGAGCTCCACATCTGGGGCGGTAACTCTGCCAGAGACATAATGAGTCCTTTCAAGCTTGTGATGTCCCTTGTAGATTATAGCAGCCGAAGCTGCCTGATACTGGTTGGACTGAGGGACAGAGCCATCAGTTGCAGCCAGTACTGTTGAAGGGTCGGCCCTCGCTTTCGTGATGAGCTCATCTAGATATGGTCGCCTATCTTGGGCAGGATCGCACTCGTCAAAGTGGAGATGGTCCGCATAGCGGTCCAGTAACCGATTGCCTGGGCGAGCTTCGGGCGCAAAGGGCTTGAAGCTCTCAGTTAAGGTGTGGACACGCTCGTCCACCTCCATGACGGTGCTCTTGACTTTCCCTCGCATGGCTGGGGTCATCAAGGCAGCTGAGCGGGCATGTGGTGCGGCCCGCTTAAGGAGTTCCTCACCCATCATGGAGCAAAGAGGGTGAGTGTCTGACAGGGTAGTGACACGGTACACTGCACACATCGCCAGCTTCTTCAGCATGAGGTGAACGGGTATGAGACCAGCGAGGGCCTCAAGACCACCTGTGGGGGAGGTGCGGAAAGCACCCGTGATCCATAGAGCAGCTTTCCGCTGCATCCGCTTGAGCTGGTTCATTGCGCCCTTATTACGGGCTCCGTCGAAATACCAGAGATGATAACCATATGTGGCAATGGGAACCACACATGATCTATAGAGGAGGCACCGCTGTTTAGGCGAGAGACCTCTGGTAGAGTTTCCGAGCATGCACATGGCCTGCACAGTGGTGAATGCCTTGGTGGCATAGTAGCAGACATGCTCATGAAAGGTGAGCCCGCGGTCAAAGTAAAAGCCTAAGTACCTCCAATAGGTCTTGGGCTTCAAAGGTGTAGCACCAGTATGTGGGGTGTACCCCAAATCCAGCGAGGGATTGTAGGTGTCTCCTTGACGCGAAAAGTGGAACAGCTCGGTCTTGTCGTGTTCAAGAACGAGTGCGAAGGCAACAAAAAGAAGGTAGATAATCTTGTAGGCCTTATGCAGGCCTACATTATTATCATCGAGTTGTTTGGATTGGGCCAGAATGGTCCTGTCATCCACAAAGGAAAGCAGCGTCGTGTTGAGCAGCGCCGCTTTGATGTAGAAGAGCTTCATCACCGGAGCAATGAACAGCCCAGAGATAACAGGCGAGAGAGCTGAGCCCTGCCCAACACCCACGTCCGCAGACCGTGAGTCGGATTGGAAGGTATTCCAGCAGTAGACAGTGGAACGCCCAACAAGATAAGAGGCAAAGAACTCCACCAGGACCGGCGAGAACCCTTGCTTGCGAAGTACAGCCATGAACATCTCATGGTTGATAGAAGGGAAGAACTGCGCGATGTCAAAAGCCAGCGTGCTAGTCTGGAGACCCTTAACCCACCCCACTCGCACGAGATGAGTCAGAATCAATCCAGCATCCTCAGTTGACCTCTGGCAGATGCCGCCAAGTTGGTTGGGATGGAAGATATCGTGCTTGACAGCGTCAAACTGTATCCTATTGGCAATCATCTTTTCGATAAGTTTACCGAAAGTGATGAGGAGTACGATCAGCCTGAAGGCCTTCAGTACGGCATAGGAGGGCTTATTCAGCTTCAGAACGATAACCGATAGTGACTCCTTGAATATATGCGGCCAATGACCCACCCGAAGGCAAGCGTTAGCCAGCACGATGAAGAGCGCAAGGACGTGTTTATCCTTGAGCAGCTCCTTTAGGTGGACCCATGTAACATGGTCCGGTCCTGGTGCAGAGGAGTTGGAGCACCCCTTAAGGGCACTCAACAACTCATGCTCTGAGAAGTCAGCCCACTCACGGACTGGCTCGTCGGGAAGCTCATCTAAGACCAAGGCATCATACTCACGACCTGAGGCCGAGTTGTACGTGCTGTGTAGGGCATCCCAAAGGTCGTCCATATCATGACAAGACTGGTCGCCATTGCGAATAGCCTCACAGGGTGGTAGCTTGCACTGCTTGACCCATTCCACTAGGTCCCACGGGCGCTTGTGGGAAGTAGCGATCTCTGTGATGCGTTCATCGAAGAAGTCACGCTTGGCGTCCTTACACACCTTCTTGAATTTGTTGTAATCAGCGAGCGAGCGGCTCAGCTGATATACTCCGAATGTCTCCAAGCACTCGTCCGTCCACCAGGACTTGGAGCGCTTGGTAGGTTTTTTTTTTTTTTTTTTTTTTTTTTTTTGATCAACAATTTATATAGCGGTGCTCGGTGGCAGCCCGCTCGCTATCTACAAACACGTACACTACGCGGCCTGGGTACTAAGTAAACCACTAAAGGACGTCTGCCCCCCCAACCACGAGCCTTATGGCTCAAACGCCGAAGCTCCCATAAAGCCAGACCCACCTCGCGAAAACGGTGACGCGGGATAAGGGGAAGAGACCATCAAGGCCCCGCTAAACCCCAAAGTCATCAAATGCTGTTCGGAGGCCACGCAGCGCAAATGAAATAAGAAAAGCACCACCCGGGAGGTGGCAGGGTGTCTTGAGGCCGACCAAGCCAGAGATGCGCCTGCCCAAAACCAGACGCAGAGAATTAG